ATGATTGGTTTGCTAAGACAAGCAATTTAGAGAAGCAAACACTGGGGATGACAGCAGTGACACCAGGGAGCAACAAATAATGAAGGCTCTGAGCACCTTTGGAAAGGCGCAGAAATTCAAGGGACACTTTGGGTATGAAAATGGGTGCCTTGTGGCAAGAAGAGACATTGCACAGGAATCAGGAAAAAATACAGTCGTCTCCAGACACCTGCACACATACAAGTGAGGGGTTCACTCCAGCCTTGGGTCTGTAATCTAACTTGGGGCCTGACCCATAGGCTTCATCTGAATGAAGAAGACAGCACTGCTCCCAGACCCACCTGATGTCTGTACTTAAAACTCTACCACAGAGTCTGATTCAAATCACTGTCTACAGAACTTCCAACAGGGATGAGAAATCTCAGCAGCCCAGAGGCGAGGAGTACGAAGCACACAGAGTCTACCTGGGCATCCAGGTGGCATTCTGTCACAAGAAAATACTCACCGGTTACATCCCGAGCATAGGAGACATCCAGGTCCTCAGGTGAGAAGATGGCTGTGCTCCTATAAGACCAGCAGGTGTGTGCCAGGCTAGGAAGACCCGAGTAAGTCAGATAATAGTCATCCAGAGAGTTCTGCAGGGCACCATATTCTGCCATCTGTGGCATCTGTCTGCTGAACCTGGTGGGGGAGGGAGGGCAAAAGATTAAGCCAAGACTGATCAGAAACTGTACAGTTCTATCTGGTTCTGATGGAATGTTTGAGTGGTGAAGCACGCCAAGGGTCTCATCCATCAGAGAGAGAAAAGTCTGTTTTGTGTGTGAGACAAAGCGTGGTTTCCCAGGGGCAGAAGAGAGAAAGAGCAGTAGGGGTTCAGTGCTCTGGCCAAAGAACAGGCTGATGAGCAGACTGAATTCTCTCTGGTGGTGCAGTCATGCCTCACATACAGGGACACAGAACACTGGCTTTCACACTTCCATTTACGTTGCATTGACATTACTATGACACACACGCCAGCATGCTGACACCAAACAGAAAGCAGATACGCATCTCACTCTGTAAACCACACCTGATAGAAAGATTGAGTGCAAAAGCATCACTCTGACTTAGTTCACCTGGGTCAACTGATTTGGGTTTTAAACTTGACAAGTAAAGAAGAAACGGGAAATAGTAGAAGTACCACAGTGAAAGCAGAGATCATTATGAAAAAGGATAATAATGGTGGGCAAAACTGACGACACAATATCTTCAGCAATTTCTGTTTTTCCCTGGATCGGGGTCTGCAGATGTCATGACTGTACAAAGAGCCGACAGATATTCAAAATTACCTCGGGGCAACCACCTCCGGTCCTTTCAGGTCATCATGATCATTCTGCTTTTCTGCAAATAAATTCACAGGAGATTGTCATCAGGCAAATGCCTTTCAAAACGCCCAATCGTGTGCCTATCTTCACAATGTGGTAACAGGCTATTGAGACAGAAATCATCCAGGAGGCCCTAGAAAGAGCCTCAGAAGAAGGCACTGGGTTTCCTTCTTGAGCCATTGGGCAAATTTCCTTGATATCCTATGTCACTGGAAGAGTATCCTGGTCATGAGTCTGTGCAAACAGCTAAATAACACCTTTTCCCCACAGTTCCTGGGGAACAACTTTGCTACATCCTCCGCCTGCGATGAGATTCAGGATTTTCCATCTGAAATGTTGTTTACTAATGGGATAAGTGATTACACACTGAGATAAATGGAAGTGGAATCCATACACCATCAAGTCAAATGAATCTCAAAGCTGCAAACAGTGGCCATTCATCAGCTTGGGAAGTTCCAGGGCCCTGCCTTAGCTCAGAGAAACATGCCAAAAGATGACAGTGAGGCTTACCTTCTTGTTTCAGAAGACTTCGAACAAGATATGTCAAAGGAAAAGAGAGAGCCAATGGGTTGATAGAAGTGAACTAAAGTAGTGACATCTCCAAAGGTATAAACAAGCCTGCCAAAAGCCCTGGACAGGTGTAGAAACTCAGGGACATTACCCAGAAATGAAAAGTAAAGCATTTCATGTGAGATAAGAGGTTCACTCAAAATCAGGAAGCCTGAGCGCTACCTTCTGTGCCACAGGTGCTGAGGCACACGTGAGCCTGGCTGGACCACCTTGGGTAGAGTGGTTAACCACAGGGACACCCATGACAGTGAACTTAGAAAAGTTCATTCATAGAATGTCTTATTTTAAATGGAATTATAGAGTCTGGTTCAAACCAGGCTTCAGGATGTAAGCATAGGGTCTATTAAAGGGGATTAATTCTCTAGGAGTAGACTAACAGATGTAATGAAGACTACCTGTGAGACCAGTTGGAATTTCATCCTCTTCAGCCTGAGGGCAACCACAGGCTCCATCCACGGCAGACTTCACATTCTCTTCATCAAATGCAACTTCCCCATCATTGTAAGGCTGGTTGCAGGCAGAACCTTCCTGGGGAGTGGAAGCTACTGAAAGACATTCATCCTGGGAATGTGGGAACACCACCGTCTTTTCCACATCCTGCACGTTCACACTGTGTCAGATGGAGAAGGGAGGACAGAAGATTAAGAGGACTCGACTCCAAGCTATCTGGCTGCTTCTGATGACAGGCATTGAGAGTGGTCACAGAAAGCAAAAGGGCAGCCCCCTTAAGGAGGGAAGTAACTCCTCCTGATGTGGAGCGGAGTGTGGCTGCCCTGGGGTGGGAGAGAGACAGCAGGTTCTCTGGGCACTGGCCACACAACCTGTGGTTGAAGGAGGAAACGGAACGTTCCCTGCATGCTATCGTCATGACGCCCAACATGCACAGAGGACTGGGACAGCAGTTCAGACTTTTCTGCACACATTGTGTTGATCTGGATATCCTGTGTCCAAGTGAACACAGCTGTTAAAAAGTTAAAAATTTGTTTCTGTTTTGACTCTATTCCATTCAATTTAAAAAATTTTATTTGCACAAATATACCTTCCAAATCAGTTTTTCAGAGTTGGAGAAAAAGGAGTTATAGACTAGATATTCTGCCTTCAAGAACTCTTTTTTCAATATTTTGTTGTAATATGAATATCGTTCTATTTTCTTCCCTTGAAATCCAATATTTGCCATCATGCTGATGCCAAACCAATGTAAGACCATAGGATTTCACCCTACATGAACCACTCAGGAGAAAGCACATGAACACAGGAACTCCTAGGTTTGGTTATTGCACCTGGGTCAACTCACTGTACATTACTAAACTTGAAGGATTAAAAATTGAAATCCACAAACTTGTGAAACATAAATAGACAAGGTTGTTAAAGAGATAATTGCTGTTGAATGAATAGATGAAAGAATTACATAGACTACTTTCTATTTTTCTCTGGATCTGACGTCTCCTGCTGTCACCACTGACATTCACAGCCCACAGATCTTCAAATTACCTGGGAAATGTGAGCTCTTGTCCACTCACTTGCTTGCGATCATTTTCATTCTCTAGTAAGAAATTCAGAGACAGCCAGTCATAATAAGAAAATCAGACCTCACACATATCTACTCAGTAATCACATATACAACAAGGACTTTAATATTCTCATTGTAAGAACATACTTCTTTAGCAAAGTTATCCTAGGACACTTAAGTCTTGTGAGAATTAGACTGGACTGCTTCCAGAGCCATTGAGGAAATTTGCTGCTTGATCTGGTATCTCTCCCAACATCCTTTGTTCTGAGTCTGTATAAGCAGTTAAAAACGTATTTTCCACAGAGATGCTGGAACATGAGCTGAGTTATTTTCTAGAATTATTTCTATAGTACTGCTTAGTCCCATCAGATTATGTGGTTGTTGATGGTTTAGAGGAATTTATACTTGAGACTAGAGTGGTGGGTGAATTGTGAAAGCGTTAGCCACTCATTAGTATCTGTCTCTTTGTGACCACATGGACTAGAGGCCACCAGGCTCCCCTGGCCATGGAATTCTCCACACAAGAATACTAGAGTGGGTGCCATTCTCTTGTCCAGAGGATCTGCATGACACAGGGATTGAACCTGGGTCCCCTGCATTGCGGACAGATTCTTTACCATCTCAGCCACCACGATAGCCCAGTGAATTGTAGTAACCCTCAAATCAAAAAGAATCTTTGATGCTACACAGAAACCATGGCCATTTGAAGCTGGAGGAACTGCCAGAGCCCAGCCTTGCTGCATGGAAGCCACAGCCTGAGGGAGGATCACCAGGCAGCCCAGGCTCCAGTGGAGGACATGGAGAGTGATGGATGTAAGAGTGATGGAGTAAGGATGAATACATCCCAGATGAAATGGATGTGAGGGTCTGAAAGCTCTTTTAAGGAAACTTGAGCAGATGTGGATCCAGAGGAGAGGAAGACTAGGAGACGGCAAAGGAGATGAGTGGAGAGAATGAATTAAATGGAGTGTCACAAAAGAGACTGATGGGTGCACTTCAAGAATGAGGGTAGCCCTTTATTTTAAAATGAGGGGAAAATGAGGAAAAGAAACTGGATATGAAACATAGACATGGGACTGAGTTGCAGGGCCAGTGTTTACACTCCTATTGCATGCTGCTAAGACACTGTTACTGGGAGCACCCAACAGGAGTAAATTGCCTTGATGACAGATGTTGAAAGGAGAGGAAAAATACTGGCCAAGCTACCTTCCTGAGAAAGCAAGGAAAAATGGGGTTTAGAGAAAGCGGAGACCATAAAGCTTATGCTACCATAGAGGAAACAACCATTGTGCAATCATTTTGTAAGTGTTAAAGCACCAGAAAGACACAGTGCTTAGATATGATATATTCATAGTGGTTATCAAACAAATCTTAGCGAATCAGATGCCCTGGACATTATATTGTTGAAGATTCCCAACAATCTTGCAAAGGAGATAGAATTTTTCAAGAGTTCAGATGAGGGATGAGAGAGGCAAATACCTAGGAAGATGAATAAGTTGGCTCAGTTAAACAAGCAGGAGTTTGCAGAACCAGGGCCTGAGGCTGAGCTGGTCCTAAGTCCCAGGCTCTTGATCACCTCACTCTGGTAGAGGGTCACGGGTTTCAACTGGGCCGACAGCGCGTTTGGGAGAGGCCCTCTGCCTCCTCCACCCACAGCTTTGTGATGACCAGCACATGGACCAGAGCTTTCTAATCCCCTTTTCTTTCTTACCGAGAAAGAGTGGTCCTTGGTTTCCAGAATCAGGGTTGGTGGTAAAGGCCCAGTTGATGGAAGAAAGACCAAGAATGGGTTTGCTGTCACCACAGTCAAGATGCTGGTCCAGCTGCCACTGCAGACACTCGGTCACGTGGGTGCTTTTCTGAAGCTGTGCCTGTGAAGTTGGCACCTCTGACGCTGGGAAACTCACAGGTTCCTGGTAACAGTCCTCCCAGGCGTCACCTGAAAGGAAAAGAGGGTTCAGTAGGACCAATGAAAGCTTCTTCTTGCCTAGCCCTCCCAGAATGCCCATTTCTGCTGTCCTAGCCCATAAGTGAAACCAGCCAATAACCCAGACAACACTGGCAGACATCAATGTGAAGAAGGCGCCATATTTATGGCTGGGACTGGGGTGCGGAGAAGGCAGGTGTTAGGCTGCAACTTCTTGAAATGAGAAATCACCCACTTGAGTCGAGAGGGTCTGGGTGACACAGGAGGTCAAGCCTCTTATTCTGTTATTAGCCTTAGTCTTGGAGCCTAGAGAGAAGGTTCCACACAAGCCTCTCTCTATGCATGGGGGAGAAAGAGTTGTTGATATCTACCCACAGGAATAAAAGAAGAGGAAGAGACATATGGCGTGAAAGCTTCAGGTCCTACTAGAATTTGAGCTGGGAAAATACAGTACATTCCAGACCCTTTGGAACTTCCTTGCTTGAAGTTTTTGTCTACCCTTCCACTCACCCGTACATGTACATATAGAATAAAATCTATTCCCACGTGGGGCAGAATGGGGATGGGTGGTATTAGCAGCTAGAACTAGCGGGGGAGAGGGCTGAGACCCTGTTGGAAACACCTTTGTGTCTCTTTAAAGAGATTATATAAGTACACTGCTTCAATACACGTCCCTCCACTGGTGACTCGACAGTGCTCATAATGAAATGTGTTTATATATTTCTACTGCGAAATGAGTACACATTCTCAGAACCTGGGCTAACCAAAGGCACGAAGTACCCTCCTCTGGTCCAGGTCAGGCTGCTGTGAGGTCACGGCCGCCAGGGCCTGCTCTCCATTGCTGTGGGGCTCTCCTCTCACCTCCTTATGCATCCACACCCTCAACAAGGTTTGTTTCTCTAACTGTCTCTCATGTGTCTGTTACCTCTTAGTGTTCCAGAGAGCATCTGAGTTTGACTCTCATCAAAGATTCATCCAACCTCCTTCCAACTGCTTTCTCTGATTCCGTCCTCTCCAGACTCTCAAAGGTCACCTGGCTTATCACCCCCCAAGCCTGTTTTATCACATGTGCCTCAGTTTATGGAAATTCATCCTCCCTTCCCTGCTACACAGATCGAACCTCCTCACCCGCCTTTCCAGTGCTCCTGTCTTCTGTCCCTTTCTTCTGAAACATCACTTCCCACAACTCCCTCTGCACATCCTCCTAGGACTCAGGCTGGCCCCTTTCTGACCCCAGCCCTGTACCAGGAGCCTCTGTGAGCTTCCAGGGCTTTTTCCAAAACCACTTCTCTCAGTCTGGTGTACCCTTCATATTTCCACCAGGCAAACTTCATTAAACATTAATCATCATGTTTTAGGACACTTCCTCAGATTTTATGATAATTCACATTGGGCTGAAGGGTAAATCCTTGTATATCAACAAATTTGGTGTTTGAAAGAACTGTCAAAACTATCTATCCCCTTATTCTCCAATGTTATTCTAAGTCGATGTCTAGGATTGTTTTTAATTAGCGTTGTGTAACTTCATCATCTAATTTTATTTGCCTTTCTTGAGAATGGGTTTTATTAAACCTATGCTTTGAATATTCTTTGCATTAACAGAATATATAATAACCAAACATTTTATCAATCATCAACAATACTGCCCAGTATTGTTAGCGTGGGGAAGAGCCTCCAATAGAAGATCAAGATGTAATTTAAAAATCAAGTGTATGTGTTGTTTCTGTAGGGTTTCTCCTTGTACAGAGAGGACAGGGTAGACCTGACTACTCGTATCCGCATGGCTCCATAATGGCTATTCACACTGTTCTCAGGTTATCATGCGAAACCAGACGCAGGATGGAAACGGTATAGTGAGATATTCTAATCATTCATCTCAATCCATCTGTGGGGATTTGGCCTTTCCTGGCCCATTGTGAACAACGGACTCCCAGGACTGGGTCATATCACACACTCACAAACATCTCAGACACAGATCTGAGTCACGTGTCTGAGCCTCACTCATCCTCTTCACGGGAACCCACACCCAGCGGTCAGTGTTTCTGAGATAGAGCTCCACAGTTTTCCATGGCTTCAGCACAGCCAAATTCAAGGCCTACCTGGACCCGTCGTGACAGCAGGTGACCTGGGGGCAGGACTGGGGAGCGGCGTGGACTCTCACCCTGGCTGTTCCCCAGAGAGAGCCCCGTGGAGCTCTGGCTCCACCTGGAGGGGCCGGGGAGCCGCCGGCTCTGCCCTTGGGACACAGTGCACAGAGGGACTGGGAGCTGGCAGGTCTGAGTGCGGGACCACAGGGGTTCTCTGCAGCCCTCTGGCAACTTTCTCTTCAAGATTAAGATAGTTGCCAATCATTTGGTTAGGGCAAAGAGAAAAACGTGAGCAACATCCTCTCTGAGTCACTGATGGTCCGACTGCTGAGAGGAGAGGACTGAGCCCGAGCCAGGGTGTCGGGCCCAGGAGAGCTCAGTGTCCCACCTGCCAGTGGCCAGGAGTCTGGGCCCAGTGAAGGGACCCGCTGATCCTCAGTGCCCTCGGCTCCGCCGTGAGACACCACAGCTACCTGAGAGGGTGCCTGGGAGGGCTGAAGGGCTTATAGTGCACTAGGAGCTTGCTTAGGAAGGAGCATGTGGACAGCAGGTGCACAATAACTGTGTGTTCCCTTTCTGGTTTGGGAACTACTGTGATCCTGAGAAAGCCTTTGCTTCTCTGCTCCTCAGGGAAGAATGAGAAATAAGAAAGAAACTGCTTCCAAGGTGAAAAGGCACCAACTGATTGACGGACAACTTTTATATGCCCAATATCATTTTAAAAGGAGTCAGATAAAATCTGATATATAATGGAGTTTCTTCTGATTTATCAAGATGATCTTACGAATCAAAGTCCTCACAATAAGAATGCTTCTCCTAAAGAAAAAGTCAAAACAATATCCCAAGAAGGATTTCATACTAGGTTTTCATTTCCACACCCTATGAACTGCTACCCAAGTGCACCTGGCCCATAAATTAGGTCAATACCCCCATCAGATACACAGGTTATGGAGAGTTTCCATGAGATTATACCACTGAGATTGCTTAACACATTGAAATCATAACCCACCCATGGAAAACTCCTTTTTGCTGCACAAAGGATGAAACACAAGGGTGTTTCTAGAGGTTGGAACAACAGGGACAGATATTTGGATTCACGGAAATGACAGGGCATAGACAGATTTGATGCTCAGGATCTAGTATCTAAATGCTTCAGAGGGAGGTAGGCAGCAAAGGGGTAAGAATCTGGAGTTGGGCAACAATATAACATGCATTACAAATATGGAGCAGATTGCAATCAGGAATCCAAAGCCAGAGAGCTTGCCAGAAACTATTCAAGGAATAAAATTAGCAACAAAATTTCATGACTATAAGGATTCTTGTCTTGATAAAAAGAGCTCTGTTACACAAATCCCTGCAGGTGAGACAGTGGTAGCTGAGATTCTGCCCTTATCCCTCCACTTGCCCTCTCTGGTCTGACTTGATACCACAAGCCTGTGCTGCTGAGATGAGTTCAGGTGACAGAGGGCAGCCCGGGGCAAGAAGAATGCAAAGGCTCGTGATGCCTTTTAAAAGTTCAAACTGAGAACATAGTTCTAATCGACCCGAGCCTAAGAACCTGTCTGGGAGTACTCACCGTTTACATCTAGAGCCAAGAAAACTTCTCTCTTCTCTGTTGGGAAGGAGACCCTCCTAGAAGGAGGACAGGAGCCTTCCAGATAATGGTCAATAGAAGCAGCCAGATAACATTCATCCAGTGTGTCCAGGTGGACTTCGTTCTCTTCTACCACCAGCTGCTCCATGCTGAGATTGTGGGGTTGGGAGAGCAGATGGTGAAACAAGAGGGATGAGTCAACCTGGAGCCATAGCTGCTTTTGAGGGGAGGGTTAAGGGACACGTTGGAAAAAACAAATGGGGAGTCCCCTGAAAGGGAGGCATAACTATCCCCCCACCCACAAGCCCCAACTGGGGCCTGAAGGCGCTTGCAAAGCGAAAGGAAGAGAGAGTGAGGGAGAATGAGCATGAGATGCTCTGAGCACAGAGAAGAAATGAGTTCAGGAGGAAGGAGAGGAGCCACCCCGGGACACATAGTCATGTCACACACGCCCTCAGAACATAAAGGCGGCTTCAAATGCACCATACATTTTGTTGAAATATACATGCTGCATGCAAATGAATACCAGCTCTGGCAGCATAAGGGACTCCTAGAAATCTTGTGTCTGCAAGACCAATTTTTCTGAGACTGTGATGGGACATGAATTTTGTTTCCTCGTTACTTTGCTTGCCACGAAATACCTGCCAAGGTCTTAAGACCAAAGACAGAGGCAGATAAGTATGGCATGCTGGTTTGAATGAAAAGCAGAGGACAGAGGAGTACAAGAAATCCTGGGCTGATCAGTAGCCCTGCTTCAACTGACTGCAAGTTACTATCATTGAGAGGGATTCATAAAGGGTGAAAACAGACAACCTTGTGACAGGGACAATTTGTGGTGGTGTGAATGGAAGAAATAGGCATGTTCAGCACTTTCTGATTCCCCTGCATCTGAGATGACCAAATGTCACCACTGATGTCAGACCCATGTTTCTCCATAGTTACCTAGAGCAGATGATGTCTTGATTTTCCTCGTCCTCAAGATCAGCAAGATTTTCTAAGGATAAATTCAGACACGTTGAGAAACACTTAGCAGGTCTCATCGTGTAAATTAATAACCCAGCGTCCAATACTGCCATGGGGACCTTTATATCAGCAACGAGATGACAGGCTATTTAAGAAGGATATTCCAGATGCCTCAAGTTGGATCTCTCAGACTCTCCTTGGTTTACTTTCCTGAGCCATCAGGCAATATCTCTCTTCCCTGGTAGATCCTCACCACAGTATTCTCTTCCATGTTTCAGTAAAAGTTTAAGATTCATCTTCCCCACAGAGTCTGGGGAATAGCCCACAGCATTCTTGCACAATACTCTTAATACTCAGGCTTTTCTCGTCATATGCTGACTGCTTTAGCACAATGATGAGTGGAATGAACAAAACATCGAATTACATGAATCCTAGTTGTTACACGGACCCTTCAGTCATTCATGAGGTGGGAAAATGCCAGGGCTCTGCCTTGCTTCATGAAATACACACCCAAGGTGACGAGAGAGCTCTTTGCATCCTGGGGACCAGATGATTGGTTTGCTAAGACAAGCAATTTAGAGAAGCAAACACTGGGGATGACAGCAGTGACACCAGGGAGCAACAAATAATGAAGGCTCTGAGCACCTTTGGAAAGGCGCAGAAATTCAAGGGACACTTTGGGTATGAAAATGGGTGCCTTGTGGCAAGAAGAGACATTGCACAGGAATCAGGAAAAAATACAGTCGTCTCCAGACACCTGCACACATACAAGTGAGGGGTTCACTCCAGCCTTGGGTCTGTAATCTAACTTGGGGCCTGACCCATAGGCTTCATCTGAATGAAGAAGACAGCACTGCTCCCAGACCCACCTGATGTCTGTACTTAAAACTCTACCACAGAGTCTGATTCAAATCACTGTCTACAGAACTTCCAACAGGGATGAGAAATCTCAGCAGCCCAGAGGCGAGGAGTACGAAGCACACAGAGTCTACCTGGGCATCCAGGTGGCATTCTGTCACAAGAAAATACTCACCGGTTACATCCCGAGCATAGGAGACATCCAGGTCCTCAGGTGAGAAGATGGCTGTGCTCCTATAAGACCAGCAGGTGTGTGCCAGGCTAGGAAGACCCGAGTAAGTCAGATAATAGTCATCCAGAGAGTTCTGCAGGGCACCATATTCTGCCATCTGTGGCATCTGTCTGCTGAACCTGGTGGGGGAGGGAGGGCAAAAGATTAAGCCAAGACTGATCAGAAACTGTACAGTTCTATCTGGTTCTGATGGAATGTTTGAGTGGTGAAGCATGCCAAGGGTCTCATCCATCAGAGAGAGAAAAGTCTGTTTTGTGTGTGAGACAAAGCGTGGTTTCCCAGGGGCAGAAGAGAGAAAGAGCAGTAGGGGTTCAGTGCTCTGGCCAAAGAACAGGCTGATGAGCAGACTGAATTCTCTCTGGTGGTGCAGTCATGCCTCACATACAGGGACACAGAACACTGGCTTTCACACTTCCATTTACGTTGCATTGACATTACTATGACACACACGCCAGCATGCTGACACCAAACAGAAAGCAGATACGCATCTCACTCTGTAAACCACACCTGATAGAAAGATTGAGTGCAAAAGCATCACTCTGACTTAGTTCACCTGGGTCAACTGATTTGGGTTTTAAACTTGACAAGTAAAGAAGAAACGGGAAATAGTAGAAGTACCACAGTGAAAGCAGAGATCATTATGAAAAAGGATAATAATGGTGGGCAAAACTGACGACACAATATCTTCAGCAATTTCTGTTTTTCCCTGGATCGGGGTCTGCAGATGTCATGACTGTACAAAGAGCCGACAGATATTCAAAATTACCTCGGGGCAACCACCTCCGGTCCTTTCAGGTCATCATGATCATTCTGCTTTTCTGCAAATAAATTCACAGGAGATTGTCATCAGGCAAATGCCTTTCAAAACGCCCAATCGTGTGCCTATCTTCACAATGTGGTAACAGGCTATTGAGACAGAAATCATCCAGGAGGCCCTAGAAAGAGCCTCAGAAGAAGGCACTGGGTTTCCTTCTTGAGCCATTGGGCAAATTTCCTTGATATCCTATGTCACTGGAAGAGTATCCTGGTCATGAGTCTGTGCAAACAGCTAAATAAATCCTTTTCCCCACAGTTCCTGGGGAACAACTTTGCTACATCCTCCGCCTGCGATAAGATTCAGGATTTTCCATCTGAAATGTTGTTTACTAATGGGATAAGTGATTACACACTGAGATAAATGGAAGTGGAATCCATACACCATCAAGTCAAATGAATCTCAAAGCTGCAAACAGTGGCCATTCATCAGCTTGGGAAGTTCCAGGGCCCTGCCTTAGCTCAGAGAAACATGCCAAAAGATGACAGTGAGGCTTACCTTCTTGTTTCAGAAGACTTCGAACAAGATATGTCAAAGGAAAAGAGAGAGCCAATGGGTTGATAGAAGTGAACTAAAGTAGTGACATCTCCAAAGGTATAAACAAGCCTGCCAAAAGCCCTGGACAGGTGTAGAAACTCAGGGACATTACCCAGAAATGAAAAGTAAAGCATTTCATGTGAGATAAGAGGTTCACTCAAAATCAGGAAGCCTGAGCGCTACCTTCTGTGCCACAGGTGCTGAGGCACACGTGAGCCTGGCTGGACCACCTTGGGTAGAGTGGTTAACCACAGGGACACCCATGACAGTGAACTTAGAAAAGTTCATTCATAGAATGTCTTATTTTAAATGGAATTATAGAGTCTGGTTCAAACCAGGCTTCAGGATGTAAGCATAGGGTCTATTAAAGGGGATTAATTCTCTAGGAGTAGACTAACAGATGTAATGAAGACTACCTGTGAGACCAGTTGGAATTTCATCCTCTTCAGCCTGAGGGCAACCACAGGCTCCATCCACGGCAGACTTCACATTCTCTTCATCAAATGCAACTTCCCCATCATTGTAAGGCTGGTTGCAGGCAGAACCTTCCTGGGGAGTGGAAGCTACTGAAAGACATTCATCCTGGGAATGTGGGAACACCACCATCTTTTCCACATCCTGCACGTTCACACTGTGTCAGATGGAGAAGGGAGGACAGAAGATTAAGAGGACTCGACTCCAAGCTATCTGGCTGCTTCTGATGACAGGCATTGAGAGTGGTCACAGAAAGCAAAAGGGCAGCCCCCTTAAGGAGGGAAGTAACTCCTCCTGATGTGGAGCGGAGTGTGGCTGCCCTGGGGTGGGAGAGAGACAGCAGGTTCTCTGGGCACTGGCCACACAACCTGTGGTTGAAGGAGGAAACGGAACGTTCCCTGCATGCTATCGTCATGACGCCCAACATGCACAGAGGACTGGGACAGCAGTTCAGACTTTTCTGCACACATTGTGTTGATCTGGATATCCTGTGTCCAAGTGAACACAGCTGTTAAAAAGTTAAAAATTTGTTTCTGTTTTGACTCTATTCCATTCAATTTAAAAAATTTTATTTGCACAAATATACCTTCCAAATCAGTTTTTCAGAGTTGGAGAAAAAGGAGTTATAGACTAGATATTCTGCCTTCAAGAACTCTTTTTTCAATATTTTGTTGTAATATGAATATCGTTCTATTTTCTTCCCTTGAAATCCAATATTTGCCATCATGCTGATGCCAAACCAATGTAAGACCATAGGATTTCACCCTACATGAACCACTCAGGAGAAAGCACATGAACACAGGAACTCCTAGGTTTGGTTATTGCACCTGGGTCAACTCACTGTACATTACTAAACTTGAAGGATTAAAAATTGAAATCCACAAACTTGTGAAACATAAATAGACAAGGTTGTTAAAGAGATAATTGCTGTTGAATGAATAGATGAAAGAATTACATAGACTACTTTCTATTTTTCTCTGGACCTGACGTCTCCTGCTGTCACCACTGACATTCACAGCCCACAGATCTTCAAATTACCTGGGAAATGTGAGCTCTTGTCCACTCACTTGCTTGCGATCATTTTCATTCTCTAGTAAGAAATTCAGAGACAGCCAGTCATAATAAGAAAATCAGACCTCACACATATCTACTCAGTAATCACATATACAACAAGGACTTTAATATTCTCATTGTAAGAACATACTTCTTTAGCAAAGTTATTCTAGGACACTTAGGTCTTGTGAGAATTAGACTGGACTGCTTCCAGAGCCATTGAGGAAATTTGCTGCTTGATCTGGTATCTCTCCCAACATCCTTTGTTCTGAGTCTGTATAAGCAGTTAAAAACGTATTTTCCACAGAGATGCTGGAACATGAGCTGAGTTATTTTCTAGAATTATTTCTATAGTACTGCTTAGTCCCATCAGATTATGTGGTTGTTGATGGTTTAGAGGAATTTATACTTGAGACTAGAGTGGTGGGTGAATTGTGAAAGCGTTAGCCACTCATTAGTATCTGTCTCTTTGTGACCACATGGACTAGAGGCCACCAGGCTCCCCTGGCCATGGAATTCTCCACACAAGAATACTAGAGTGGGTGCCATTCTCTTGTCCAGAGGATCTGCATGACACAGGGATTGAACCTGGGTCCCCTGCATTGCGGACAGATTCTTTACCATCTCAGCCACCACGATAGCCCAGTGAATTGTAGTAACCCTCAAATCAAAAAGAATCTTTGATGCTACACAGAAACCATGGCCATTTGAAGCTGGAGGAACTGCCAGAGCCCAGCCTTGCTGCATGGAAGCCACAGCCTGAGGGAGGATCACCAGGCAGCCCAGGCTCCAGTGGAGGACATGGAGAGTGATGGATGTAAGAGTGATGGAGTAAGGATGAATACATCCCAGATGAAATGGATGTGAGGGTCTGAAAGCTCTTTTAAGGAAACTTGAGCAGATGTGGATCCAGAGGAGAGGAAGACTAGGAGACGGCAAAGGAGATGAGTGGAGAGAATGAATTAAATGGAGTGTCACAAAAGAGACTGATGGGTGCACTTCAAGAATGAGGGTAGCCCTTTATTTTAAAATGAGGGGAAAATGAGGAAAAGAAACTGGATATGAAACATAGACATGGGACTGAGTTGCAGGGCCAGTGTTTACACTCCTATTGCATGCTGCTAAGACACTGTTACTGGGAGCACCCAACAGGAGTAAATTGCCTTGATGACAGATGTTGAAAGGAGAGGAAAAATACTGGCCAAGCTACCTTCCTGAGAAAGCAAGGAAAAATGGGGTTTAGAGAAAGCGGAGACCATAAAGCTTATGCTACCATAGAGGAAACAACCATTGTGCAATCATTTTGTAAGTGTTAAAGCACCAGAAAGACACAGTGCTTAGATATGATATATTCATAGTGGTTATCAAACAAATCTTAGCGAATCAGATGCCCTGGACATTATATTGTTGAAGATTCCCAACAATCTTGCAAAGGAGATAGAATTTTTCAAGAGTTCAGATGAGGGATGAGAGAGGCAAATACCTAGGAAGATGAATAAGTTGGCTCAGTTAAACAAGCAGGAGTTTGCAGAACCAGGGCCTGAGGCTGAGCTGGTCCTAAGTCCCAGGCTCTTGATCACCTCACTCTGGTAGAGGGTCACGGGTTTCAACTGGGCCGACAGCGCGTTTGGGAGAGGCCCTCTGCCTCCTCCACCCACAGCTTTGTGATGACCAGCACATGGACCAGAGCTTTCTAATCCCCTTTTCTTTCTTACCGAGAAAGAGTGGTCCTTGGTTTCCAGAATCAGGGTTGGTGGTAAAGGCCCAGTTGATGGAAGAAAGACCAAGAATGGGTTTGCTGTCACCACAGTCAAGATGCTGGTCCAGCTGCCACTGCAGACACTCGGTCACGTGGGTGCTTTTCTGAAGCTGTGCCTGTGAAGTTGGCACCTCTGACGCTGGGAAACTCACAGGTTCCTGGTAACAGTCCTCCCAGGCGTCACCTGAAAGGAAAAGAGGGTTCAGTAGGACCAATGAAAGCTTCTTCTTGCCTAGCCCTCCCAGAATGCCCATTTCTGCTGTCCTAGCCCATAAGTGAAACCAGCCAATAACCCAGACAACACTGGCAGACATCAATGTGAAGAAGGCGCCATATTTATGGCTGGGACTGGGGTGCGGAGAAGGCAGGTGTTAGGCTGCAACTTCTTGAAATGAGAAATCACCCACTTGAGTCGAGAGGGTCTGGGTGACACAGGAGGTCAAGCCTCTTATTCTGTTATTAGCCTTAGTCTTGGAGCCTAGAGAGAAGGTTCCACACAAGCCTCTCTCTATGCATGGGGGAGAAAGAGTTGTTGATATCTACCCACAGGAATAAAAGAAGAGGAAGAGACATATGGCGTGAAAGCTTCAGGTCCTACTAGAATTTGAGCTGGGAAAATACAGTACATTCCAGACCCTTTGGAACTTCCTTGCTTGAAGTTTTTGTCTACCCTTCCACTCACCCGTACATGTACATATAGAATAAAATCTATTCCCACGTGGGGCAGAATGGGGATGGGTGGTATTAGCAGCTAGAACTAGTGGGGGAGAGGGCTGAGACCCTGTTGGAAACACCTTTGTGTCTCTTTAAAGAGATTATATAAGTACACTGCTTCAATACACGTCCCTCCACTGGTGACTCGACAGTGCTCATAATGAAATGTGTTTATATATTTCTACTGCGAAATGAGTACACATTCTCAGAACCTGGGCTAACCAAAGGCACGAAGTACCCTCCTCTGGTCCAGGTCAGGCTGCTGTGAGGTCACGGCCGCCAGGGCCTGCTCTCCATTGCTGTGGGGCTCTCCTCTCACCTCCTTATGCATCCACACCCTCAACAAGGTTTGTTTCTCTAACTGTCTCTCATGTGTCTGTTACCTCTTAGTGTTCCAGAGAGCATCTGAGTTTGACTCTCATCAAAGATTCATCCAACCTCCTTCCAACTGCTTTCTCTGATTCCGTCCTCTCCAGACTCTCAAAGGTCACCTGGCTTATCACCCCCCAAGCCTGTTTTATCACATGTGCCTCAGTTTATGGAAATTCATCCTCCCTTCCCTGCTACACAGATCGAACCTCCTCACCCGCCTTTCCAGTGCTCCTGTCTTCTGTCCCTTTCTTCTGAAACATCACTTCCCACAACTCCCTCTGCACATCCTCCTAGGACTCAGGCTGGCCCCTTTCTGACCCCAGCCCTGTACCAGGAGCCTCTGTGAGCTTCCAGGGCTTTTTCCAAAACCACTTCTCTCAGTCTGGTGTACCCTTCATATTTCCACCAGGCAAACTTCATTAAACATTAATCATCATGTTTTAGGACACTTCCTCAGATTTTATGATAATTCACATTGGGCTGAAGGGTAAATCCTTGTATATCAACAAATTTGGTGTTTGAAAGAACTGTCAAAACTATCTATCCCCTTATTCTCCAATGTTATTCTAAGTCGATGTCTAGGATTGTTTTTAATTAGCGTTGTGTAACTTCATCATCTAATTTTATTTGCCTTTCTTGAGAATGGGTTTTATTAAACCTATGCTTTGAATATTCTTTGCATTAACAGAATATATAATAACCAAACATTTTATCAATCATCAACAATACTGCCCAGTATTGTTAGCGTGGGGAAGAGCCTCCAATAGAAGATCAAGATGTAATTTAAAAATCAAGTGTATGTGTTGTTTCTGTAGGGTTTCTCCTTGTACAGAGAGGACAGGGTAGACCTGACTACTCGTATCCGCATGGCTCCATAATGGCTATTCACACTGTTCTCAGGTTATCATGCGAAACCAGACGCAGGATGGAAACGGTATAGTGAGATATTCTAATCATTCATCTCAATCCATCTGTGGGGATTTGGCCTTTCCTGGCCCATTGTGAACAACGGACTCCCAGGACTGGGTCATATCACACACTCACAAACATCTCAGACACAGATCTGAGTCATGTGTCTGAGCCTCACTCATCCTCTTCACGGGAACCCACACCCAGCGGTCAGTGTTTCTGAGATAGAGCTCCACAGTTTTCCATGGCTTCAGCACAGCCAAATTCAAGGCCTACCTGGACCCGTCGTGACAGCAGGTGACCTGGGGGCAGGACTGGGGAGCGGCGTGGACTCTCACCCTGGCTGTTCCCCAGAGAGAGCCCCGTGGAGCTCTGGCTCCACCTGGAGGGGCCGGGGAGCCGCCGGCTCTGCCCTTGGGACACAGTGCACAGAGGGACTGGGAGCTGGCAGGTCTGAGTGCGGGACCACAGGGGTTCTCTGCAGCCCTCTGGCAACTTTCTCTTCAAGATTAAGATAGTTGCCAATCATTTGGTTAGGGCAAAGAGAAAAACGTGAGCAACATCCTCTCTGAGTCACTGATGGTCCGACTGCTGAGAGGAGAGGACTGAGCCCGAGCCAGGGTGTCGGGCCCAGGAGAGCTCAGTGTCCCACCTGCCAGTGGCCAGGAGTCTGGGCCCAGTGAAGGGACCCGCTGATCCTCAGTGCCCTCGGCTCCGCCGTGAGACACCACAGCTACCTGAGAGGGTGCCTGGGAGGGCTGAAGGGCTTATAGTGCACTAGGAGCTTGCTTAGGAAGGAGCATGTGGACAGCAGGTGCACAATAACTGTGTGTTCCCTTTCTGGTTTGGGAACTACTGTGATCCTGAGAAAGCCTTTGCTTCTCTGCTCCTCAGGGAAGAATGAGAAATAAGAAAGAAACTGCTTCCAAGGTGAAAAGGCACCAACTGATTGACGGACAACTTTTATATGCCCAATATCATTTTAAAAGGAGTCAGATAAAATCTGATATATAATGGAGTTTCTTCTGATTTATCAAGATGATCTTACGAATCAAAGTCCTCACAATAAGAATGCTTCTCCTAAAGAAAAAGTCAAAACAATATCCCAAGAAGGATTTCATACTAGGTTTTCATTTCCACACCCTATGAACTGCTACCCAAGTGCACCTGGCCCATAAATTAGGTCAATACCCCCATCAGATACACAGGTTATGGAGAGTTTCCATGAGATTATACCACTGAGATTGCTTAACACATTGAAATCATAACCCACCCATGGAAAACTCCTTTTTGCTGCACAAAGGATGAAACACAAGGGTGTTTCTAGAGGTTGGAACAACAGGGACAGATATTTGGATTCACGGAAATGACAGGGCATAGACAGATTTGATGCTCAGGATCTAGTATCTAAATGCTTCAGAGGGAGGTAGGCAGCAAAGGGGTAAGAATCTGGAGTTGGGCAACAATATAACATGCATTACAAATATGGAGCAGATTGCAATCAGGAATCCAAAGCCAGAGAGCTTGCCAGAAACTATTCAAGGAATAAAATTAGCAACAAAATTTCATGACTATAAGGATTCTTGTCTTGATAAAAAGAGCTCTGTTACACAAATCCCTGCAGGTGAGACAGTGGTAGCTGAGATTCTGCCCTTATCCCTCCACTTGCCCTCTCTGGTCTGACTTGATACCACAAGCCTGTGCTGCTGAGATGAGTTCAGGTGACAGAGGGCAGCCCGGGGCAAGAAGAATGCAAAGGCTCGTGATGCCTTTTAAAAGTTCAAACTGAGAACATAGTTCTAATCGACCCGAGCCTAAGAACCTGTCTGGGAGTACTCACCGTTTACATCTAGAGCCAAGAAAACTTCTCTCTTCTCTGTTGGGAAGGAGACCCTCCTAGAAGGAGGACAGGAGCCTTCCAGATAATGGTCAATAGAAGCAGCCAGATAACATTCATCCAGTGTGTCCAGGTGGACTTCGTTCTCTTCTACCA